CTTCGCAGATGTCCAATTAACACGTTTTCTAATTGCATGGAGGCAATCGTACAATTGCGCCACGGATTCACACGGATTTAAATCCGAAGCTTATCCTTTGGAGTGGAGGTATGAGGTGTGAGAGAAGGAACGAACGTGAGATATAAACTTTAATTGTGGAATGAAAGAAAATCTGGCAAAAACACAGAAAAACAAAGGTGGGAAAAATTTCAAGCAAACTGGATGTATGTGGATGAAAGTCGGCATCTTAAATAAAATAACCAGCGTGATTTCTTAGTATTGTGACATCGCTTGAAAAACAAGTTTGTTTACAGCGTACAAGTTTAGCTCATGTATGTTTGCAGCACATGTGTTTAGGGTAAGAATGTCAAGAGTCTGTGTAACAGACTGAGTCTCCTGTGTTCCCGCATGACAGAAATTCATCCTGCACAAACTGCTACATGACACACTTTGGCCCCAGAGCTGAGGCCTCACCAGGGCTGCACTATATCTGTGTCGGCCTAAATATAGGGCCGGACACCTCCCCTGGTCTGGGCCTGGCCCCGCCTCTCGCGAGAGCAGGACGTACGCAATGTTTGGGCCAATTGAGACGCTCGTCACTGTCATTGATTCCTCAAAATGACCTCTTAAGTGACAGCATACACAGTATTCTCATGTATAGAGAATATTCCAGTATATTGTGTAAAGCCACAGTCAAAATGACAGGCGGCAATTCTAGGATTTGTTTTAGGGCCGGGGGCATCAGAGAGGCCATACCTCATCACTAGCCAATCAAATGTTGTGAAATGCTGAGTGACGGGGAGAGGGATACTCTGGGGGCCAATCAGCTTTCAGCTGGGGCCAGTGCCCCTGTGGCTCCTCCCCTGTATACACCCCTGCAAAGTGAGGCGATAGAAGAGGAGATAACCAATAACAGAAGGACAGATCCGGATACAGTTGCAGTAGCAGTAACAGTAACAGTAACATTAGCTAAGGGGGCAGTTTGGTGCAGCAGGAAACCCCGAGGCCCAATCGGACTGCGGCGGCCCCTTCCTCGCTGCACCAGCAGCCATCTGCCAGCCGCTTCTCTGTTGCTATGGACACTGGTATGGCTGGGAGAGACCCAGTGGAGACTGTGGAATTAGCAGTACCGCTGATTGTCCATTGTGACATGTTTCAAATTGGGCTGTAGCTATTCGGAAAAAGCGCATTACCGTTTTTTTTTTTGTTTGTTTGTTTTCTTCCCCTATAGCACACTGGACACATTGTGCTTTTATATTCTATTTTGAAGTCTATTGTAAAATCTTCAGTATCGAAAAAATGAACTTGAGAAGGATCTGCTTGGGGAACGCAGCGTTCTGAAGGAGCTAAGATATATCCATTAAAAAGCCACTCCAAATGTCTCTGTCGGATTCCCAAAGGATCGTGGCACGAACAGAAGTCTCTGGGTCTGTGGGTGAGCCAAGGTTAGAATTCCTCACTGTTTGCCAGACCTTGGTCCCTCGCAAGAAAAAAACATTCTCTCCAAGCAAGGACTAACTGCAGACTGGTCTTTCCTTGGAATGGAGTGTGAGATGAAAAACGAGTTGAATTTGTATCTCTAAACTCCTGTTTTTTTAAGTTTAAAGCAGCCTATTTTGTACTCTAAGTTATCCCAGTGCCATATATTTCATGCTATCTTTGTCCCTCAGGTAACAGGAGACCGGCGTCAAATTGCCATCAGAATATAACCTCCTAAGAGATCTTCAACCCTACGCATGCGGCAGTGATTACGTGTGAAAATGCACAGCACAAGTTAGCAGCTGTAGCTATATACAGCCGAACTAGTCTAGAGTTGTTAAGCTGTGACTTTTTGGGATAATAATGCTCAGTACTAACATTCTCTCTTAGATATCCATGGAAATGTTAAAAGCAATTACCAGTATAGGACAGTACTATAGATCAACAAAAACCATTTCATGCACACAAATGTATCTATTATAGTTACTGTAAGAAGGAAGGTAGGCAGGTCTGCCGTGCATTTTGGGATGACGAGTCATGTGACTCTCTTTGTGCTAATTTATTCCACCAATTATTCATCCCCTCTGTATATTAATGTAGCTATTGTTTGGACGGCATCCGTGGAGCGGAGCGGCCTTTATGTTGGACCTGTGCATCACTGATAACTGGCATCCACTTACACAAGATAGATAAGACAAGACAACAGATAAGATAAGATAAGATAAGATAAAAGATAAGATTTTGTTGGTCCACATGGGGGGGGGGGATTTCTTTGTTCAGCAGCAAGGAAAGAAAATGGATAAAGTAGAAATAAATACAAGAAAGGATAACATAGGTAAGTACTTGTGAAGCGTTTGTCTTTCTCCCACCAAAACAGCATTTTTTCCATTTGTTTATTAAAAAGGCCCTTTTCTCTTTTGCATCGTCTCCAATCCCATTCACTCCATAAAGGGAATTTCCCTATTGAGTTCCAGTCCATCCCTGTGTTCTGTGGTTCTGTTCCTTGAGCAGAGCAGGATTTCCCAGTGTTCAGAGCAATAAACAGACACGGGGGAAAGAAAAAACTGACAGGGAAAGGGTTAACTGCGAAACCAAATGAAGGTGAAAAAAGTCTACAAAGATGACAGCAATTAATCATTTCACCAATCTAATTAAAAACAACACTTTTATTTCTAGGATAATAAACAACTTCATTGCCTGATTAATTTCACTAGAAGATGGGCTATTTCTCAAGTCTGTTATCCTGTGCTTTTGATTTCTTTTTTATCTGTTTGAATTAGCCAGTAACACAATATGACTTGCATTAAAGCAGTTTTTTCTTGAATATCAGCTTGTCGGTGTTATAAAGATGGAAATATGGGCAGAGGTAGTCCTATAAAGGATTGATCAAACCTATTAAAGGACTTAAAGGTAAAGAACCTATTTAAATCCTCAAACAATAGGTCTGAAAAGGACAGAGGCAGCTGTCTGTGTCGATGTGGAATGGGAAACGTCGGTAATGTAAGATGTAGTCCTGTAAAAAAAAAAATCCATGCAAGTTAAAAAGAAATGAGTTATTTGATCTTATATGCAATATAATTTAAGGTCCTGCCCCTGGTTGTATAAACGGCTTTGATTTCTGCTGAGTAGGGCTTTCTCACCGAGTAGAAGCAGGTCCACACTCCTGGTCTGGGATCTGCAGTACGCCTGCTTGTGTCTGGCTGCAGGTGACTTTGCCAGAGCACCACGCTCGCTCCCCATGAAGCGGGGGGATAATGAGAACTGTATGTTAATGGGGTCTTTGATGGGACCACGTGCTGTGATTGGGGGGGGGGGGGGGGGAACCATTCAGAGAGTGAGAAGAAAAAAAATCAGACCACAGCTTGTTAAAATGCCCCCGGTCCCCAAATGAGAAGTAAGATTCCTCATCAAAAAAATGCCAGTTTCAAGGGTCTCCTGTATACAACACACACACACACACACACACACACACACACACAGTGTTTTATGCAGTATCACTCACTGCCCGACAACGAAACACTGAAACTCTCATACAGAAAGCTGTGTGCAAAAATCTGTTGTAGCTCTTTCTTTCATACACACATAAACGCACAAATCCTCAGACTGCCTTTAAGTGGACAGTGATCCACACACACGCACGGACACGCATGGGGGGCTGGCAGCCTGGCAATCCAGGCCTCTCCCTCCTCGCTCCGAGCCAGCGGGAATGAGGAAGTACTCTGGCAGCCCTGCGTCCCTCGCCTGCCAATAAAGCTTGATGGAATTTGAATCTGGATCAGAGCGGAACAGACCTGGCAGCCCCTTTCTGACTTACTGCTGGGTACCTGCTGAGGCCAGGCAGCTCACTGTTGGGCAAACGTGTGGGGTTGGGGGGGGGGGGGGGGGGAGGAGGGTAGGCAATTACGATAAAGCACAAAAACAGCTCTACGCCCGGCTTACGCTTCCCATTATCCACTGGGGTATAAACAGAGGGTGGAAAGAAAAGGGGGGACCAGGAAAAAAAGAAACAAAAAAATGAAAGGATGACTTGAAAAATGAAGAACAGAGGCCTTGGAATACAACCCCACCCCACCGAAATGTGTCAAGTAAACCCTGTGATGCCGGTGGTGCCGTCACATTTGCATGTGTTTGAAGCATCACAGGGATTCAGAATTAAAAGGAGAGAGATAGAGAGCGGCGCAAGTGGTTAAAGCCAGGCGTTACAGCCAGGCCGATGACAGATCGGGTTTAAATCAGCACAGGAAGGATCATCCAGCTCCGCTCCTGTGACGCGTCCATCGGCTGGTAAATGCGAAGAAAGCAATGCACGCCCACGGAACTTTGATTAATTATGTAGACTGGAAAAGGAAGGACCTCGTTTTGCATTTTATGTTCAAGACAAAACAATACAAACAAAATAAAAACAAGTCCTATTTTAGAAGCAAAAAAAAACTTTACATGTGCATCCCATAAAACCGTTATTTTCATAATATGGGACATGACATATAAAACAGGAATGCTGTTTTGCTACTTTTATGTTTCTAGATTTTGCTTTATTATCTCTATATTATACATTCCAATAAATATCACTGACGGGTAAAATAAAAATACGAATAATTTATTAATCAAATATGAGTACGATTTGGATTGAAGTTTTTTTCTTAATGACTGCAAGCCTCCTAAAATGAGAGCAAGATTGCACATTGTAGGACACAAAAAAACTTAATGCTCAGCTTTAACCTCAGAAGTGTCACGACAGTTATCTTAACGTAATCCTTTTCTAAATATACATCCTTTAATCGCATAAGGGAAAAAAGCGAAGCATTAAAACAGCCATATCCCAGCCATGCTCATAACGTCACTGTTTATGAATATAAACTTATGAGTCGCGTTAGACTGTTTACTGCTTTATATACCGATTATTGAGACACTTCCGGGCACACTCTGTAGTATTTTTAAATGTTTATAATCGTGCAATATTTTAATAGTTAATATCGGTGAACAGCTGGCCGATCCCGTCTGCATTAAAGCCGGGGGGCGCGCGACGTCCCGTGGCGTCCCGCTGTGACCGGAAGCCGGAAACAGGAAGTGCGTCACTAAGTGGGAAATTCAAACTTCTCCAGATCTTGGCCCTGCAACTGAGTCTGTGGATAAACTGATCGGTGTGCTTTTTTTAAAACTGCTTTTTGGTTTTCCCTTTTTTTTTTTTTAAATAAAGGGCAAAAAGGAGGTAATACTAAATAAGGTAGCTTACGCTGTTGTCATTTTGTTAGGAATGGATATGTATATGCACGGTCGCGGTGCGTTAGCTTGTATGTATTGTCTTTTTAGTGGAATTTTAAACGATCACACATTCAGCAGAAGTAACTAGTCGCGGTTTGTCATCAGTGAGTGCAAATAAGTGACGGCAAAAGTATCACGACTTTGACGGTAATAACAATAATCATTTCCCAGATGGGCTGAATTGATGTGCCTTGTGTCTTGTTTCAGGCCGGACATTGACGCGTGTTTGGGAAGATGCCTGCGGACAGTAACGCGGAGCTCCTCAGATACTATGAGGTGTATGAGACCATCGGCTCGGGTATGATGCCGCATCTCATCGCCGCAGCGCGTCTCTAGCTACATTTAAGAAACTAACTTGTTTTCCTGCCTCGCTTGTATGTTTTGCAGGTGGTTTTGCGAAAGTGAAGCTCGGCAGGCATATTCTTACTGGAGAAAAGGTTGCAATAAAAATAATGGAAAAAAAGGACCTTGGGGTATATATTTCTGATTAGTACTTGTATATTCTTTGGATGTACTGATAGCTATCCATAATTGCTTTTTTGAATACCAGGTCACTGTTAGCCTGGAGTAAATTAGAACTTGACGGGAGGCACCCTTGGGAGAGATGTCATCTCACTGCCGGGTGCATAACCGCTAATACATGCACGCACAATGAGAAACGGTTCACACCAGCCTTTCTGTGCAAAAATCCGTGTTATAGCGATTTTTACATATGCATAAATGCATGTTCCAGTCTTCCTCCATTTTTAAGTAATGGTTGTCCAACTGCTATTGACGTTCACCAATGCTAGATGGTGCATCACTGCCGACCGTCATTCTGAACGCCCTGCCTTTCTTCACCTCCAGGAGGACCTGCCACGAGTGAAGACAGAGATCGAAGCCATGAAGAACCTGAGCCACCAGCACGTGTGTCGTCTCTACCAGGTCATCGAGACGTCCACCAAGATCTTCATGGCGCTGGAGGTAATGCACCCTGCGTAACCGGTAGGGAAACCCTGTGTCACTTGGCCGCAGATGGTCACGGGTGGTCATTTTCAAACTGGACGCTTTCTCTCACGCCATGACTTGTCGTGAGTCTTGTCCCCTCCATTCCTGGTGTAGTACTGTCCTGGAGGAGAGCTGTTCGACTACATCATCGCCAAAGACCGCCTTTCGGAGGACGAGACCCGCGTGTTCTTCAGACAGATTGTCTCGGCGCTGGCCTATGTCCACAGCCAGGGATACGCCCACAGGGATCTCAAACCGGTGGGTGCACCGTCCCCCACGGGGCCTGCCAGTCTATATTTAGCACGTCTGCTGCGTTTTGACGTCCTCTTATCCTCCAGGAGAACCTGCTGATTGATGAGGACCACAACTTAAAGCTGATCGACTTTGGGCTGTGCGCTAAACCTAAAGTATGTTAAGCGATCGAATCGCCTGTGTCTTCGACTGCAGTCACGTTTTCTCACTGGCCCCAACGGCTCATATACTGGCTAAAAACAGACTCCATCTGTTGCTTTCCGCTTTAATGCAGATTCCCATCTACCAGCCCACTTTCTTATCAATATCTATATATTTATCTTTTTCGTGCAAAATTTTGGTACTTATATTCAGCACCTACTTCTTCCCACCCCCGAAAGCTATGCTGATTTATTTTTATGGAAATTATTGTATATGGTGCTGTATATTGTCTATATTTGTCTTTTTGTGTGGTTGTTTAAGGTGAATGAATGAATGACTGTATTGTTCACAGGGAGGGCTCGGGTACGAGCTGAAGACGTGCTGCGGCAGCCCTGCCTACGCAGCTCCGGAGCTCATCCAGGGCAAGGCGTACATCGGTTCTGAGGTGAGGGGTGCTCTGTCTCCGCTGAGCTCACAGGGGTGTTGGCTCCTACCCCCTCTTTTGGCGCCGTGATCTTCTCAGGCTGGGTATACGGTTTAAAGAGGTGGCCAGTCCACATCCGGGGTTTAAGATCAGTCTGACGCGGCAGGGCTGGGTTCCATCCCCACTAGCAGTTTCCTCACAGTTCGGCGTCACGTCGACAAGTCAAAAATTGTTACTGGGCATATGCAAAGCTTACTCATTCAGCCACACCCAGTGCAAACAATTGCAGTATGAGCATTATAATAATTGCAATTGTGCCATGAATGTTGCATACATTACAGTTCACAGGAGTTATACATACGTGGTTAATAATGGCTCTGTAATCGGAAGGTCATCAGTTTGAATCCCAGGGTTGACAGAGTGATTTCACCATTGGGCCCTTGAGCAAGATCCTTAACTGAAATGTCTCCAGGGACTGTCTGACCCTACCGTCTCAAAAAGTCGTGCAGTACCAGTCAAAAGTTTGGACACACCTATCGAAAAGGATTATTTGTACTGTTTGTCACATTTAGAATAATTATGAAGATGGCAACATTGTAAAACAACATATGGAATTACGCACTGACCGATAATATTTAAAAATAAATTAGGGGAGCACTCATTGGCCACTTTTCCTTTACACTCGTCAAACTCCTCCCTCACCATTTCCACTGTTTAGGTCAGGTGACTGGTGCTGTATGTTTTGGATTAAAGAGTCGGATAAAAAATATGGTGAATGCAGCAGCGAGATGTTGGATGTGGTCGCCGTGGCGACGCCCCACTCCGGCCTGCCCTAACTCTTGTTCTCTCAGGCCGACGTGTGGAGTATGGGAGTCCTGCTGTTCGCCCTGCTCTGCGGGTTCCTGCCGTTCGACGACGACAACTGCATGGTCCTCTACCGGAAGATCATGGTAAGGGGCTCGCTCTGGGCCTCCCCGCGGTCCGTCGTGGTGCGATAGCATATGCATCTACATCCCCTTCCTGTGTGTCTTTCAGAGGGGCAAATACAACAGCCCATCCTGGCTGTCCACTGGCAGCGTTGTCCTCCTCAGCCAGATGATGCAGGTAAGAGATCCTTGTTCCTCTCACCCTCACATTTATCTTCAAACGACAGCAGATTTACCAGACGCTCTGATCCAAAGCAGCGTCCATTTTTTTTTTTGAGGAAACGGGGTCTGTCAGTCCCAGGACCAATTGGGGTTAAGGACCTTGCTGAAGGGCCCAACAGTGAAATCACAATGCCGACCCTGGGATTTGAACTGGCGCCCTTCCGATCACAATCACAGACACAGCAACCTAACATCATTCTCCAATGTAACATCGAATTAAACAAACCACATTGAAATATTTAAATGTCCACCTGCCACAATTATTTGGTGTTGTGCTGTAGCATGTGTGACACTGATTTCAGTTAAGTTTATAATTGCATTGTCTGCAGGTTTTTTTTATGTAAATGAAGTTCCTTGGTTCATCCTGCAGGTGGAGCCAAAGCGTCGCATAACGGTGCGTCAGTTGCTGGATCACCCCTGGGTAATGAAGGGCTACAGCAGCCCCGTGGAGTGGCACAGCAAACACCCTGTGAGTGTCTGTACTTTCCCCCTGGGGCGACACGGTGGAGATCTTTCCCCCTGTGTCGATTGTGGACTGTAGTCCAAAGTCCAATTTACTGTGTGAAGGTAATAAAGTAAAATAAAATTATCTGTACAGGAAAGAGACGTAATGGGAGAGGGTGGGGTTTTGCTATGACGGAGTCCTCAGAGTTGGGGCCGGGGTCAGAATTGTGTTCACGCTGTTGGAGATCCCCGAGCCTTACAGCCATGTTCTCCAGCTGGGCCACATCGACGAGGACTGCATCACCGAGATGGCGGTGAGGCTCAAGCGCTCCAGGAAGAGCACCGTCCAGCTGGTGTCTGAGGTTTGTGAGCGGCCCCTGTCCTTCCACGTGTCACCACTAGGTGTCAGCAGGGCACAGAAAATGTACCGGTTCCTTTGCGAGGGGCTAGATGTGTCTTGTGTAGCTTTTAATTATGAGTAATGCGTCCTTTCATAATCGGTTAGGATTTATCGCTCTTTGGGGTATTACTGTTTAAATTACAGCAGTTTTGAACATAGTTTTTGATATGGTTGATGGGTGATTTAATTAATATTTTTTGACTTTGTGTGACTAGTGGAAATATGACCACACGACGGCAACTTACCTGCTGCTCCTAGCGAAAAAGCAGCGAGGGAGGCCCGTGAGGCTCCGCCCAGACGTGCCCGTGGTAGACATCCCCGCCTCCCCTCCGCAGGAGCTGAAGGTGACTGTCACACCCGCCCTGACTCCACCCTCTGCCTGTGATTGGTCCTTGCTCCGTGATGTCATCCTTAGTGTTACGTCTGGATGTTACACCCTGTCATTAATATATAGTTCCATATATATTATAAGCTTGAATGATAATGAAGGTGACCCAGCCCTCAAAGCCAAGGTCACCTTCAAAGCCGAGATCTTGTGTCCCCAGTCCAAGACGACCCTGACGTTTGGTGAGGAGGCACCGTCGCCCAGCCCTCTGCTCCTGTTGTCCTTGGGGCCTCCCACCGACCGGCAGGAGAAGGACGCCCCTTGGGGTGTATTCTCGCCCAAGCCCCTGATGGAAAACCCAGTCAGTGTCCGAGTTCTGTGGCAGCCATTGGCCTGTCGCTCTTAACTCTCTTCAGGGTGCCAAACGTGTTGGGGTTTTGGTACCATGTTAGTTACTGGGTTCTCAGTTCATTCTCAGATCTGTATCAGGAAGCGAAAGAAATGTATTAATGCAAGAAAATAATAACACTAATATACATACTACATAAAGTTCTATTTCTTGGTTTTTATTCTAGAGTGTTCCGATTGGCCGGTAATAAAAGCTTGGATAATGGAGTTGCATCGTGTTTCCTTCAGACTTCTGTTAGCTTGTATTCCAGTTGGTTAACGGTGCTGGTTGTTTTTGTTCCCTTGTGATCTCCCCCGCCGCCCTCTAACAACCCGGAAGAGGCAGATCGGGGTCTCCGAGCAGCCGAGGGCCAAAGTGCACCCCAGCCCCGGCCGGGATCGGACCCACGCCGAAGAGCACGAGCAGAACAAGGAGAACCTGACCATCCTGGGAAGCAGCCAGAAGGACGGGGACACGTTTGTGCTTCCCGCCCCCCGCACCCCAGCTTCCTGTAGGAAGAGCACGCGATCCAACAAGGCCTCCCTCACCACGCCCACCAGCTACGGGCCCCCCGCCTACAGTCCGAATGGTGAGCTTATCCCTGGGGCTACATCCAAACCGCAGCCTGACCCTCCGGACCTGGGGTCAGCAGCCCCTGATCCTGGGGTGCCGGTATCCGGGCCGGTGTTCCATCCTACCTGATGAGATACTATCTGCCTGAGGTCAGGTGAGGTTCTTCAGAGACCAGGTAGGATGCAGAACCTGCTGAACACCAGCACTCCAGGATCAGGGCTGCCTACCCCTGCCTCAGAATGACAGGCTAAGCATCTGTGATCTGTGCTTTCTGGGAGGGGTAGTGAATTTGGGTGAATGGATGAATCATACATTTAGGAGTATGTAAAAAGCATTTTCTCAGTTACCACCTTGCAATATAAACCAAAAACAATGTAATTGGATAACTTAAGCACCAAACGACCTTCATGAATACAAATGTTAACTAGCACAAACATAAATACTAGTTAAATATTTGACTGCATAAAACAGCTTTTGACATCTAATTGACCAATGAGAAGATATCAGTAGACTGAAGAGAATGGAAGTATTTCTTCTAGGGTAAAAAGCCGCAGTCATTAAAAGGTGGAAATGCGTGGTATTCATCAGGCAGCGATATGCATGTTCATTCATGCGAAGTTGGAAGCATCGTAAAGTGTTGTAGCTTAATAGCCAACACTGACTGCTCATGTGAGCCAGAAGTATGTCTCCAGCTTATTCGCTCAATCCGATTGGCCTCTGCGTTGCCCTGTGGGCGGCGGCTGACTGCTGAGTGACGGCCAATTAGCTTTTTGAGTTGCTGCAGTTACTGTAAGTAGTATTTTGGATTACATTTGCAAATAAATTGTACTTCATAATAAACTCATTTAGCCTGCCACTTCCATTTAAACTAATTCGCGTTTTACAAATTAGTATTTGTTATGCTAGGGTTTGTAATTATCAATTTAATCAAAGATAAAGAGTTTCCCATTAAAAGCAGCATAAGGCTAAAGTATGTTGTTAGTCATTAATTTTCTGTTTAAAAAACCAGCGGCTTTTTCTAATATTGGCTTAGATAAAATGTTTTATAAGGGCAGGGTCCTTAGCTTGTGGCTGTATTTAACTGAGTAAATGCTCTTTTCAATTTTCTCCTTGCAAATTGTCCCTCTGCTCCCTATGGAACAGCACTGAAGGTTCCTTTGAGCGCTGGGGGGTTCAGTGCGCATCTCTGCATCATGTCTCGCGGGTGTCTGAGGGTCCTCGCAGTCTGCTGGTTTGTAAACTCAAAAAATAAATAAATCTTAAGTCTTGGTTAGTGTGATTTTCGGCAAAAGCAACTTTAAGAACACTGAAACACAAAGTCTTTGTTCTGTTTTGTGCAGGAAATGCGTGATTCCTGATGCAGCAGCAGAAGTATCTGCACTTTTACTGTGCAGCATGCAGGATGTGCGCTAATGTTAGCATCTTAGCGTGTTAGGTCGGAGCTTGCCGACCTGGCTTTGTGTTTGTTTGTCTGGACCTCAGTGCTTGCCGCGTTGACGGTTTCCATACCGAACGGCGACGCTTCTTATGGAATCTTCATGCCTGCTGTTGAGCAAATGGACTGTGAAATTCCGAGGCGTGAAGCTCTCCCCCCGGAAGCCAAATCCAGGCCCTTAAGCTGAGCGATGGCTTAATAAGATTCTTAGATCAATAAGGAGCTTCAGGGGGAGCACTGGAAAAACACAGGCTAGCTGCTGCCTCCCCCCCCACACATGGGGAAAAACACAGGCTAGCTGCTGTCTCCCCCCCCACACACGGGAAAAACACACAGGCTAGCTGCTGTCTCCCCCCCACACACGGGAAAAACACAGGCTAGCTGCTGTCTCCCCCCCACACACGGGAAAAACACAGGCTAGCTGCTGCCTCCCCCCCTCACGGCGCTATTTTCCGTTTTGCTCGGTCACAGCAGCCCGACCCTGTTACCGCGGCATCTAATACCACTTGGTGACCCCTATGCACCCATCCATGTCTCCACAGCGAACCGGGGCAGTGTCTCCAAAGAGCCTCTTCAATGCCTGGACCAGAGGACCCAGGGGCTCCTGGAGGTGGTAGCCCTGAGCCCAGAGAGGAGGTAGTGAGCCCACTCAAGCTCTTTGTTAGCTCTGGCAAATAGTTCCACCATGTTGCCTTTGGGATGCTCTAGTTCAGTCTCTTGGCCCAGTTGTCAGGGGGCCCCAGACAGTCCGTTTCTGCAACATGTTCAAAAAAGCCCAAGAAAAGAGAGACAAGGTTCTCTAAAGCTAGGAGGGAGCAAAAACATGGACTGTCTGGGGGTCCCACCGGTTGGAAGCACTGCTTTAGAGATTCTTGCCCCACCCCCACCAATTTAGGTGATCTGTATAGTGCCATTTCAGACCGTTGGGTAGACACAGCTGTAGCTTTCCTTTTTTGGGTGTGGTTAATGTCCCTTTTGGAGCTGATATTCAGGATCCCCCACCCTTACAGGTCTCGGTCCCTAGACATGGCTACCCCACAAACTGACAGTGCCCAGAAGCGAAAGGGAGCCAAGGTGTTCGGCAGCCTGGAGCGGGGGCTGGACAAGGTCATCACCATGCTGACCCCCAACAAGAAGAGGGCTCTGCGGGACGGCCCACGGAGGATCAAGGTGAGGCCCGGGTGGCGCGGTCGTCCTTCTGGCCCACGGAGGACCAAGGTGAGGTCCGGGTGGCGCGGTCATCCTTCCGGCCCACGGAGGACCAAGGTGAGGCCTGGGTGGCGCGGCCGTCCTTCCCGGCCCAAAGCCCCAGAATCGCAGCCTAGATGGACTATGTCACTTGTTTCAGGTATTGCAGATATTTGATGTATGTTATTGTGTTGAATATGGTGGCTCGATGAGCAGCACCTCTTCATCGGAGGTTAGGGCTTTGCCTCTTGCCTCTTTGTGTTTTTCCCACCTTGGCTTTCTTCCTTAAATCCAGAGCAGTTGTTTCCCAATCCGTTCCTCAGGGACCCGCAGTCGGTCCATGTTTTTGTTCCCTACCAGTCAGTCCACAATTTTTTTTTTTTCCTCCCTACCGGGAGCTGGGAGGAAGCAGACACTTGGGTCCCCGTGGACTGGATTGGGGAACTCTGCTCTGTAGACATGGTATAGGTCAACTGGCATTTCTATGTTTCTCATAGTGCGAATGTGTGTGTCTTATGGCAGACAGACACCAGTCTAGGGTGTTTCCTGCCTTGTATTCTGTGCTTCCTGCTAAAGACTTGGGCTCTTGATGATCCTGCGCTTGATTAGTTGCTGGAAGTGGTTAGATGGAGCAGATGACCATGTGATGCGGAGAACTTCAACCTCCTGTTCGTCATACATTGAGGCCTTCAACATCTAATCCTCTTGCAGTCTGTAGTTATAAGCTGTGACAGCGGGCTGCTGTATATACCACAAGCTACTGTGATCGTAATGCTTATTGACCTGGTCCTGAGATGATTTCAGGCCAGTTAAGTCTGAGGTGCACTGTGCTCCCCTTCCAGGCACAGTACAACGTCACCCTAACCAGCCAGTTGAACGCAGAACAGGTCCTCAACCAGATCCTCAGCATCCTGCCAGAGAAGAACGTGGACTTCGTGCAGAAGGGGTGAGCCGCTCCGTGTGATGTGCTGTGACCACAGCGCCCCCTGCAGCTGTGCTAGAACATTGTTATTGGTGGGGCTGCACGATATATTGTTTCAGCATCATCATTGCGGTGTGTGCATGTGCAGTAATGCAGTAATCACGTCGCATTTGTCAGCGCCGCTTTGACACTTGCAGCAACACCACCAACTTATGACATACTGTTGGTAGGTCTTAAGTTCTGTTTGACTATAGATTATTTTGGGTAATTGAATCTTTTCTGTTTTATAAATATCGCGGTACTACTCACACAAATTTCACCTATCGCGACGTGGTATCGTGCAGTCTTAGTTAAAGGTATCAAGTGTGTTTTTCAGAATCGGAAAGATCTTTATTGACCAAGTATGTTAAATATACAAGGAATTTCTGTTGTTGGGTGTGTCCTAGTACATCATACAATATAATACATACACTACTGGCCAAAATTGTGGGAACGCATAGCATTTTTGCCTACAGTCAGAAGCAGTTCGTAATGTCGTAATGGATAGACGAACGAATGGATGAATAGACGGATGAATGAATTGGGTACATAAGTAAACAAACAGGGATGATGTTTAGTAAGAGTCATAACAATACTTAGGTCACCTGTAATGTTATCTTGGCCTGAGTCAAGGTCTCTCTTGGCTGTTCCTAAGCACAGTGATGTGATGTGATGTGATGTCCCCGTCGCGCAGGTACACCCTGAAATGCAGCACGCGCTCGGACTTCGGTAAGGTGACCATGCAGTTCGAGCTGGAGGTGTGTCTGCTGACAAAGCCGGAGGTGGTGGGAATCAGGCGGCAGCGGCTGAAAGGGGACGCCTGGGTGTACAAGCATCTGGTGGAGGACCTGCTGTCGACCTGCAGAGTGTGACGGCACTCCCCCGGCGAGCAGGCCGCTACCGTGCTAATGTAACACCCCGTCACGCATACGCATTAGCCGTGGTCAGATGTTACGAATTTTAAGCCTCATGTCAGTGTTTTCGGTCGCGATGTCTGTTCCGTCGTCTTGTGGTGCTGCCATTTCCTGTAACCTTTTTGGTTTCTCATTTCATATTTTTGTCTTTTTTAAAATATCCATTAATATTGTAATATTAAGAATAAATTTCAGCTATTGAATGGAAGCCGGCGTTTTGTTCCGGATTCGTCCTCTTGGGTGGATTATGGGCGCCGTTTGATTGCTGCCTGGGTTGATTCATGTTCCTTTGAAGCTCCCCGGGATCATTTCTGCCCCCCCCCCCTCCCCCCGTATCAGGTGACTCCTTCATTTGCATGAGGCAGCCTCTGTCTGCCTGTTCTTAAGTGGGATTTATGAGGGTCGTTAATGGGAACCTCAGCCTTGCCTCCTGCAGTTAAACTTCACGTCGGATGATATGGGCTTCGTGGTAAATTATTGTCCCGTCCCTCCAGCCTCAGTCACGTTGGAGATGCTGCCGTCCAGGAAGCCGACTGACTTTAATCTTGCCCGTGACACACAAAGCAAAGAGCAGCTGTGGGGAATTTAGAACCGGTTCTGTATTTTATGATGTTCGTATGATGTGTAATGCTTTGTAAATGGGTGGCCAGAGTTGAGATCTTAGTGGCATTACAAGGTGCCTGGGGTAGGCGACTCTTCTGAAGAAGCATAGATCCTACCCAAGATGCACTGCAAATGCTGGAAATAAGTGGGTAAAGTGCATCGTGCCAGAATTTGATCTTGAACCTTTGCATTGCACCCAAGTGATCATGTTTATATGGGCTAAGGTGGCTTGCTCTTGATGGTTCTGTAGAATGTCTGTATTCAGTTGGTCCATTAAAAAAAAAATCATAGTATCTTATTCATCAGTACAGCAGGTTTGACAACGGATTTGATGTATGAAACCTTTGGTTTTGAGTACTTAACTCTAAAGCTTATATGAGATGCTATCAGGAAGGATTTTAGTCAAATTTATATGTAGTTTCTTAGTAAAGAACCCGAGGAATTGAGGAATCCAAACGTCACTTGACACTTATTATTAAAGCAATTTTACAAAAATATTTAATATCCAGTATCCCATCTGGGATGATGCTATATTTGTTCCTTAACCTGCCTTAAAAACCAATTAAGATGTTCTTATTTTTTCATAATCACTTGCAAAAAGTTGGTGTCGTTGAATGAACTTGCCTATGAAGAAACAATGATCTATTTTTAACTTACAAAACCGGTGAAGGAGTACTTTATATATAAATGGTTCCTATTCCCCATCTGCATAGACACTAGGAACTGTAATGCGCTGTGGATAGTTGGTAGAATTTATAAAGATTTATTTCATTAGGCGGGACTTGATTAGCATAAAGACTGGACTGACGCACTCAGGCATAGAATTAAAATCCTTAATTATGTTGTCATAGTATCCTGCTGCTCTCTACCGCCAACCATTCCACCCATATGTTCTCGTCATCGTTGAGAAACTGGAACTGGAAAAAACAAAAGTGCTGCTTTCACATGGTTTTGTAGAGATAAACGCTAATAAACATTACGTCTTTAATGTGTTCTTGGGTCTGCAGACAGAAAGGCTTGAGGGAGGATAGACTGTGAACTGGGCTGTCTTCAGCTTTTACCCCAGACTCCCGCAATGCACTGTGGGCCAATAGACCCTTTCATTAAAAATCGCCAAAGGACAAGTAAAAATAAAAGACTGTTTCCAGTTATCATTGACCGTTTTATGTCTCTTATATCTCTTTTGTCTTTGGAGATTTCCAGTATGAGCTCAGAAGGATTTGATCTCCAGCCAGCCAATCAAAATATGTGAATAAAGCAAAGTGTATTATTGCTACAGAGAAGCAGGATGTGCGTTTGTATTATGAAGCGAAGAAATTATTCGACATAGAAAATAAACAATAGGAGGAATGGGCACAGAGGGCTGTCAGGCTGCAGTTCCAGCCCATCGTTCACTGAGATTCTAATATAAATATGGATAGTTTTGTGCTGTGCTTAATGGCATTTTTATGTATGGCAATTGAAAGCTTTTGTGGGGGTTACGTGGGGGGGGGGGACTTTACTGCCATGAAGAGGGGAGGCCGGATACTAGCATAAGCTATTAAGGTTGGTGCTGATCAGATGGCGGTCGAAAGAGCCAAAGTGAATTCAGTCAGAATAGCATCTTTAACGGCGCTGATTTAGAACTTCGTTTTTAACGTCTGATCCCTTTGTCGACGCCCCCAAACGCCCCCCCCCCCCCTTCCTTGACCCACCAGTCCTGCATCCATTCACGCTGTTCAGTCTAATCAGCCAGTCCTTGCAAACCCAAAGCTGTCTTTTGCTTTATTTGGCTTTCCTCGTACGACCCCTACATAACTTCCTTCACCCTAAAAGCCCGCTTTCCATAATTACCGTCCTCTGTTTGTCATTTCTAACGCAGCCGGCCGGAGGTGTCCTGTCCTCACGTGCTTGTCGAACCTCCTCGCCTCGGAACGGACTGAGAAGACGCCCAGGGAGCTATTAGGCCCTGAACATCTATGTGCCCAGTGCCAGTCCACCGACGCACGTGCAGGGCAGTGTTTCTGAATCCGGTCCTCAGGGATGCACAGACATTGTGGTTTTTGCTGAAATGTGGGCCGTCGGGTGGGAAGCTGGGAGGGACCAAAAACATGGACCGTCTGTGGGTCCCCGAGGACCAGACTGGGAAACACTGGCATGGGGTATCTGTGAGAGCGGACGCAGTTGGAGGCCCCAGCCTGACACTGGAGCTGAGCGCACAGCAAAGCAGCAGCTTAGCGCAGAGATTTCTCTGTGTGTGAGACAGGTTCCTCTTTCCCTGTTGACAGCTCCGGTCTCTTATCCTTCCTTTAATTGGTCCTCAGATGGCTCTCTGTAGACAGGCTCATTCATCACAGGCCCGTACTGCTAGATAATCCCACAGGGGGAGGAAGGGAGTCGCCGTGGCGATGGGGGTGGGGCATTTGTGCTGCTTGTACATGTGAGATGCAGGGGGGCGGATGAAGGAGAGGACTGGGCCCACGGACAGGCATACTCGGTGAGCCGTTAATGAAGCTATTAGTCTAACAAGCCGGACGTGGCCCCGTCACTGGCACGGGGATGGGGGGGGGGGGCACAATGTCTCAAAGCTTTTTGTCTTTTTTTGCTGGGAACGAGTGGCGTGTCATTTCCAGCCTGTAACAGCTTTTCACCCGAAGAGAGGACCCTCGTCCCTAAGGGCTGCCCCCAGACAGGGGGACGGCTCCAGCAAAGATCTGCTAGAATTATAATGAAATTATAGAATCGATAAAAAGAATCGATGCATTTACACAGGATTTGTGTCAGATCGGTTTGAGTTAAGTACACACCTCCATTTTAATATATGTATTAATGTGATGTTTAATTTTCTTTATTTGATCTTGATGATTTCCCCTGCTTAACTATATAGTTAAGTTATATAGTGTGCAGCCCTATTTAAATCAGTTATCCAAATTTTGCATAAAACCTTTCATATTATCCACATGTATATGAAATTTTATTTTTCAAGCATTATTTTTTTTTTACTTTCACTTGCTGTGCTGTTTCACTTTGTATATGTATGTCTATGTGTGTATATCTCATGTTGGGTTATATAAGCATTTAGATTTTGACGGAGGGATTTTTTTTAATAATCACATGCAAATAAGCACATTTTTGTTCACATGTGTGTATCAGCTGATACATAGGCATTGAAAATGATGTAATGAAATTCATGTTTGTACAATGCATATGGATCCGATCGTGATGATGGTGGGGAATTTATTCCGGATAATTTCCCATCCGGTGAGCGGCCCCCCCCCCCCCCCCCCCACTGGCAATGACAGCAGCGTCACACTGTACGGCTGCAGCTGCACGTCCTTCCTCGTGTCCGTCTGCTACAATCTGATCCTGGTCTGGGCTGCAGGGCTGTAAATTCACTCATTATATCATAAGTGTTTTATTCCTGGCTGACTGTGTACCAAGCCAGGAAAATCACGTTCCTTATGTTCACATTGAAAAGGAATTCTACTGGATATATAGCAGGGGGCGGAATGATCTTCCAGAAAGGGAGGCTGGTTGCGGACTGGAGTCCCGGTCACTGATCAGCACACTCGGGCGATGCTGACCACAGCCTGAGCGTCCAAAGCAGCTGGAGCCCGAGAGCCTGCCAGATGTCGACCGGCTACTTGGCATCCCATGAGCCTTTGCGGCTCTCGACTCTGCCAAGGCTCCGTGGTCACCCAGCCAAGTGTCTCATCCAGCTGGGCGGTGCGGTGTCGAGTGGCGGCCATGGAGCTGATCCCGGAATGTGGCTGCCGTCCCAAAAAGGAAGACCCAGTACCCAGTACCCTACCCCGCAGCCTGATACGGCGGGCATGCAGACGGCCGGCAGAGACGCCGCTAATGTATATACGTCAGACCCAGTACCCTAACCCTGCAGCCTGATACGGCGGGCATGCAGACGGCCGGCAGAGACGCCGCTAATGTATATACGTCAGACCCAGTACCCTAACCCCGCAGCCTGATACGGCGGGCATGCAGACGGGCGGCAGAGACGCCGCTAATGTATATACGCATGACGTGATCAGGGCTGGCGTTAAATGGGCCGCTGGTGTATGAGCAGCCAGTGAATTTACACTACATGGAATAATGCTCTGGTTACATTATGCTGTACTAGCTCTGCTCGCTGAATCACTCAAACATCAAAACAGTGAAGGGTTACTTCACTGCCCATTTCAATGAATGTAAGCAGAAACATATATACACAACCCTGAATAGGATAAGTGGTTACAGAAGATGGATGGATGGATGGAGATATGAGCACGCACACATGACACATAGATAGATAGATGGAGATATAAACACACACGATAGATAGATCGATGGATGGATGGATGATATACATATACATACATGTACTCTGTACATCTCACACCGAAAGTCACCGAATCTGTCAACTTTAAAAAATTACTTTTATTTTCAAGAACCGATAAAATCATGGCAAGTATTTACAAATAATTAAATCTTGTCTCACAGTACAGGTACATAAAACGAGGATTCACAAATGACACTGAAGAGAGCCGCGTATCTGATCGAGCTGCCATCCCCTTTCTCTGCAGGTACAAGGGGCCGGCAAGCAGAACCACTCAGGTCTGACGTATAAAACCCAGAAAAGGAACCAGCAAGAAACCAATTCAAACCGGATATGCAATGATATTAACAATGACTATATAAACCTGAAAAATAACCCTAATATTAAAGTCACAATATCCAGTCTGGACAATTCCAAAATCAAAAGAAAGTTAAAGGAAAATCCAGTGATTTGATATCTTTGGCAAACTGGCACTCCTGTAAATACATTCAAATATTCAGACAGCACATGACACAATGAAAGAACAACAAATTTGTTTTCAACAAATTACTAGAATACTAGAAAGACTAGAAAATGTAAGAAAAACATACAGTTTTCTTAAGGAAGCATTTGTTTCATTGAATATTATTAATTTTTCATTGTTGTCACTCATTTGAAGGCATTTTAATATTTTCTGCTGTTCATCTTTTGTCTTTTTGAAACAACATGACACTCAAAATATTTTCGACTTTGGTGGATCCTACAGAAATGCGGTCGGACTTCTGTTTCGGCGTGTTTCCCTTAATAGAACATGTCTGGCAGTTAACGATACTTCTGTACCCATCACATGACCATCTTTGCTTCTCATTGCAGGATGGAGATGAAAATTTCACTACTGAAGGCAGGGAGGAGGGCTGTGGGACTCGGGAGCTGCAGAAACGGCAGCCGGAAGGTGATATCTCACACTACTTAGCTAACGTTTAGTCTTAAGCATAGTTTCTGATTTCATACCCCGAAAAAATTTGTCATAAACAATGGTAAACATCTCGAGTGATACTGCAGCAATAACTCCAAACACAACTGAAGAGCAAATTTCTAAAACTCACTCAGTCCACGGGATACATTTTCAAGAAAGTTTCTATGCAATTAGTGAGTTTTGGAAATTTAAAGAGAGTTTTTCATTGGATAACGACTGAGTGAGATTTGGTTCCCAATACGCTAACATATGATGAGGAGGCCTGATTTTAGCGAACTGGCCGTCTCATCACAAAAACAACAAAAAATGAACTGAGTTTTGGAAATTAGCTCTTCAATTAATGGATAGCTGATTACTCAACCAAAACATCATCACTGAGAAATAAACATGAACAAAACAATTCCGGAAATTTTATCACTCAGTCAAGTTAGCTTAGCACGCTAGTGATGTTTTCAACAGGATCAACCATGTCAAGCCTTGTTGTGTGTGTGTGTGTGTGTGTGTGTGTGTGAGAGCGTAAATGACAATGGAGCTGAAATCACTGCCTGACCCGTCAAAGTGGAACCATCTCATTTGTTAATGGTTTCATCCATTTTTTATTTTGCTATTTACCCTAGGATACTGACTAAGCTGGGCGAAATCCTGGCCTGTGCATGCATTTGAACGTACTGCCTGTTCAATAATTCAACCGATAAGCATTTTCATATTCTATGAATCCCTATGCAGCCTTCAGGACTCTGAATTTAAATATGTCTAATGTCCCATATCCAACAATGTAATCATATTTCACTGGGAAACGGAGCACTTTAGGAAAGGTCAGGGAATCCGATCGGCAGGCTGGTCGTAATAGTCGTAATCCCACTGTCAGGGTAGGAGGGGGCATCCCTGGGACGCAAACGTGGGGGGGGGCATATCTGATAGGATTATGGTGGGGGTGGAGGGGGATTGATGGTGTAGTTCTGCTTCCCGGGGAGGGTTGCAGGGTCAATGTCCCAAGGAGGACATCAGCAAAGGTTCTGTTTATTTTCTGGTGAGCCTGGATCCGGGTTCTACTGGGAATACCCCAAATATAACCAATGGATTTAAATGGGAGGGGGGGGGGGGTGTGTCTCAGTGGGTAGCCGTGTATCCTCAGTCCGTCACGGCAAAGGAGTTTGCGTAAAAATAAATAATTTCTGTTCAGATAGATTGTGTGTCGCTCTTCATAAACACACAAACCACAAACAATTCATGTCAGAAGAATCCAAAGAGAGATCTGGGAGATCAGTTCACCGATTCAACATGTTGCATAATCAGCAACATCAACTGTTGTCTCCAAAATATAATGTCACTATGAGCAAATCAACTGCCGCATGCCTACTGAGCTTTCAGGCCTGTCCGCCGATTAGTAGGATCTGTGTCTAGTCATCGATTTGGCTCGTGGACAGGTTGACTCCCAAGTCCGAGCGAATCTCACAGAGTCTACAGGATGCTGCAAACTATTAGCGGTCTACGGATGTTTCGGCGACCTTGAAGAAGCAGTTAGAAAAGGCACTGTCCTGGATTGTAGCTGGTGTACCTCAGGTTGATAATGCCTCTGGGAAAAGGTATGAGGGTAAGTTCACCACAACGCCGCAGAGAACTCTAAGGTCTTTTTTTTTTTAGAGTTGCATCCAAGCAACTTTGGGTTAATAAAAACAAGTCAAGACTTTACACAAAACAGGCAGGGAAAAATATCACTTTTGCATTCCATCCCATCTAGAAATTCCTAAAATAGAAGTATAAGTAAAATTTAACTCACTCTCCTTGAAGGAAAAGACTGATCTATGTCGTATTAACCTTGGTCGATTCAAACAGGGTCACATTACCAAAGGTTTTAGGAAAATGAGAGAGAGAGATTTGAAACACCAAGATGGTGCCTGACAGAAGTCATCGTCACAGAAACACAATCTCGGCCTAATTCTGTACAAGAGCGGGAATCTTTCATTTTAACCAAGAAATTGATCTTATTTAGCCTATTAACCCCAAACTAAGTACCAAAACAGTGACCCAAACTATATTTTTTTGGTCCAACTGGTAAGACAAGCCCTTTGCATCTCTGTGCTTTATATGACTGGAGGATCAACCTGCCAGCGATCTTAGCATCTCTGAGCAACTCTGTGAGCACGTAACACACTCCCGGAACCAAACAATCATCAGGCCTGGTCCTGTGACAGATTATCTATCACCTGGCATAAAAATCAGACAGTAATCTATAAACAAATGTTTAATCAGCTCACCACATTAATTACTGTTTATTAAACGTTTAAATATATTAACCTCTTTTTCCATAAATAAATTTGTTACGACCAGAACCGTGTATGGATTATTTTACAACTGTTCACCATGTGTGTCTGTGTATGGAAGCAGACAATGCACCCCTTTCGTGGCTTCGCCCTATTTGGGGCACGTCAGTGCCATCAGTGTAGTCAGACTACATCCCATAATTTGTCCATACTGACTGTACACATTTAAATACATTACTGTACACATAGACTTTATATTGTTCGCTAACTAGATTTTGAAGAAGAACGTGTTCACTGGCACGATTCTCTTGGCACACAGCTGTTTTTGTTCCTCGGTTTAGCACGTTAGCATTTCCCTCCTCGGCTCGTATCGCGGTCCGCTGGTGTCACACTTCAGGATATCGGGCAGGTGTGTCTGTCAAACAGAGATTGTGAACGGCTTCTGCTCCTGTGTCTCGTTCCCTTGGACAACGGCGGGACTCTGACCTGAGTTTGAGGCTTCCCAAAAACACCTTATTTCTCGACATTTGCTATGAGCGAGACTCCGTCGCTCCCCATCCGTCTCATCTTCCGTCTAGATTTTCCACTGTGTATAAGTGGTATGACCCTTCCTCAGATTATCCGCAGTGCAGAATAACAGGCGAGGGCTGTCTGTCACTGCAACACCACCAGTTCCACTGCAGGCTCAGGCTAGCGTCCTTAGTGTCAAACTGATGTTGTCCAGAACATTGAACAGATCATATTATCCTCCCACAAGGCTTATAGGTTTTCTCCTTTCAAACGGAAATGCAATTTCAGAACAAAATGTTTGGACTTGCCCTGCATCAGGACCTCAGAGGCCTCAGCTGACAGGTGGTTGTATATATGATTGTTTTTGTTCCACCTTTTCTTCTTAATTTTTCAATCCGCTCCATGGATTTTGTGATTTAGATTATTATTCAAACGATAAAGTACATTTCAGATTACTTTTTTTCTTTTTTTTTTTTACTTTTTTCTAATTAAATTCTGGGATTCCAAAGTCAGTAAAAAAAGACTTTTAATTAAAATATTAAGGAAATCTCTAGCCTCAGTGTGAAGTGCTGTGGACTAATCAGACAAGGAGAGCTGTGTATGAGATCCAACTGTGCCTGAGATCCAACTGCGCATGAGATCCAGCTGCGCATGAGATCCAGCTGCGCATGAGATCCAACTGCGCATGAGATCCAGCTGCGCGCGAGATCCAGCTGGCGTGAGATGCAGCTACATGAGAGATGCAGCTGCGCGTGATATCCAGCTGCGCGTGAGAAGCAGCTGGATGAGAGACGCAGCTGCGCGTGAGATCCAGCTGCGCGTGAGATGCAGCTGTAGGACAGGAACCCGGCAACAGCGTCCGAATTCTATGAGGGTTTAGAGTCCCATCTAGCACAAGTTTAAAAAGGGCCGTCGCCAACCAGATCGCTGCACCTGACCTCCAGCTATCGGCCGCTCTGATTGGAGCATTCAGATCGCTGCACCTGACCTCCAGCTATCGGCCGCTCTGATTGGAGCATTGACATTGACGGTTATGTGGCATTTCATTTGTCTGGGACAAAGGAGTAAGGCATTTGTGAAGTCAGATTACGAAACTCGCGCTCTGAAAAAAATTGTTTGATTTGTCTGAAGCGGTCACTGCCGCACATATTTATCCCAATATCATGAAGTACAGCTGATGAATACTTCCGGAAGTATGGGCTTTCATACATATCCTCAAAAATAATCAGTAAATAAATGGACTGATCAAAAAATATGTCTTGTACTTAACGGCTACGTTTTGCATTCTACTGGCGCACGTCCTTGTGGAGCATCCTTGATATGACGTTTCACACGCTGCCCCCTGCCTGTTATCTTATGTATTGCCGTGTCTCTGCACATGCTTTCCTGTCTCAGTTCAGCACCATGATAGTGGACTGCGTCAGCTGTTGCGGGTGGTGAGGGTTAAATGATTGGGCTCCTGGCCTCAACACAGCCTTCACCTCCCCCTTCCTGTAGGTGGTACTGTCCTCCTCCTCGCTCTCTCTCTCTCTGGCTCTATCTCTTTGGGTGTTGGGGGGTCAGTGGCGGTCATAGGCAGCAGCGGTGGTCGCTGGACTAGGCCCCCTAGTGGCTGCACTGTAGTAGTATGGAGAGCCTGGGGAAGAAAGGAGACACAGTGGTCAGGCCAGGCCAAAGCGAGCCAAGCCGATCCAAACCAGGACAAGCTAATGTAGGACATTAAATAGCAACATCCAGCACACCAGCTTGACACGTCACTATTTACACTTCCTTCACATCACCATAGTAACTGACTGAGACTACATGTCCCTCGTACATATAAACCTATAATAAAAACATATACCTATAGTAGTGTTTCTCCAAACATGGGAAAACCATCAGTCACTTGTAAATCTATCTATCAACATCAAGGCAGTAAACCAGGGGCGTCAGAAGCATTTTGAATGTGGGGGGACACACTGACATAAAACTAATGTTTTATGTTAAATGTGGGGGGGTCCAAACGAATAATTATGAAATCGAACGCAGATTTAATGGTGGCGACGCCCATGCAGTAAAGATAGCAAATAAAATATTTATAAAAGGATGATGTAGACCAGCGGTGGCCAATCATATCCGCAAAGGGCCGGTGTGTATGCAGGCTTTTGGGGTGACCTTTAGGTCAGCTGGTCAAACCCAGGTGTGAGGACTCCTCAGCCAATCAGTCCTCTGATTAGTAATATGATTAGGGAGCTGCAGTGAAAACCCGCACACACAGCGGCCCTTTGCGCATAAGATTGGCCACCCCTGCTGTAGACAGTTATATAACCTAAAAGGCCTGTTTATGGGTTGTTTTTAAAAAAAAAAAAAGTAATTTCTGAAATACCGCCAAATGTAAAACTGTCAGTGAGGCTATTAATAAAAGCCACAGAGATATAATTGTGAACATTCTGCTTTAGAACCAAAAACAATAATTATAAACATATAATTGCCACTATATTAGCCGGAAGGTTGCAGTTACCATCACAGTGTCTGCTGTGTCTGTGAATTACTGCTGCAGAAAGTCAATGCAGTGACCACCAGTGGCCGGAGGTAACAGGTGCAGATGAATGAGGCTCCCTGGGCTGCTCATTGTGTAATATCCCCCTTTTCGGCCTGCAACCTCAGTAACCGTCACTGCACACGGCCTATGGCGAATGGCTGAAATGCTAGCGGCCCTCATGGGGGTAGCGGTCCTGGAACGCCGAGAGCGGGAATGGGTGTCAGGCACAGAACTAGGATCAGGTGTCGCCGAAGTCATCCTGGCTGATGGAGGGACCGTTCAGGAGCACCGATTCGGGGGGGTTTATACTCGGAAGCCTGACAAACCAACATCTTCATTAGAGTGAGTAACATTAACTGCGCAATCCACCTGCACTGTCACCTAATCTCCATTTGCATTATTGCTACTATTAATTCCCATTATTTACCATTATTTATTATTCACTCAATCATACTTTTTATATTCAGCCCAATTGCTCTCACCATCACCCATGTTCAAAACATTCCAACACTGCTTATGTTTACATTGTGTTTTAACTTTTTTTATTTGCATTTGTCCTGTCTATCGCTGTGTGTTATGTATATACTGTACGTGCACCGCAGTCTGTGGAACATGATTTCACGCGACTGTATGCTGTGTTACAGAGTATGCTTGGTGTGACAATAAGGCTCCACAAGGCATCGCGACAGACAGAGGAAACACAGAAAATGTGACGGCTTGTTTGCTAAGTAGAAGATGGGCAGGAGGCACGGGAATCAATAAAAACAACTGGGGGAGACTGAGAGCGTCCACCGCGACGCATGAGCGATCATAAGTCTGGGTGCCATCCTTCCACCCCCTCCTGTCAGCACATGGATCGTTCCCCTCATGTCTGAGATGGGGGGAGGGAGCCATAAAAAGAGAGACCAGTGGAGCGGACATGGTGGAGAGGGGAGAAGAAAAAAGACATGTGCCGAGAGATGGAGGTGGAGGTTGCAGAGTCATTGGGCAGAAGCAGGAGTCTTTTACAAAACCAGACTCTGGACTTCCGTCATTTTCTGAAAATGTACTATGAGCTTGATTTTAAATCCATGATTATCAGAGTTGTCAATCCAGAAAAACGTGAGTTTAATACATACAATGGGCATAATGAGAGAGTGAAAATCCTACCAAACTAGCAAAGAGCCACCCTTTTGTAGTGAAGGCGTTCTTTTCATGAAAGTTTGAATGTGAGGATGTATGTCAACTGAACACTCCCCTTGTAGAGACAGCATTCAGTACTTACGAGGAATATGTCTGTCTTGTTCTACAGGAAGCACTACCTTTCACACACGTGAGGCGGTGCTTTACAGATATTCATCCTGAATATGGCTGCCAGAATCCCAACACAGGATTAACCAACCCCGAGGAGCTGCTATCGGAAAGTCAAACGCTGTCTAGACGCACAACCGTTCATCTTTTCAATCTGCCACAGCGACAGAGGGCAAATGACAGCACTCAGTGACTGTGGTCCAAACTCTTACACATTTTATTCAAAGGTGATGCATCACACAACTTAATAATTTATCGGCTCACATTCATATATATGGAAAGCAAAACAGATTTTTTGAAATAGGTCTCGCGGTACTCATATCATATTACTGCACCTGCGACACCCACCTCTAATGTGCTATATTGGTTTTGTACAGGCAGCTCTCGAATGACGTTATAGTGACTTAAATAAATCCAAACTTGCGCAGATGCATGGAAGTGGAAGTGCTAATGTAGTAATTTTTCTGAGTAAGTTTACACTTACACGTTCCACTTATTAAAATGTGTTCATTATTACTAGCATTTTTTTGGCTTATGTATATTTGGTTATAAGGTGGATGTTATGGGGGGGAGGTCAATCCGACTTGTGTAAAATTTGACTTATGTAAGCATTTGTGGAACAGGTTACTTGTATTTTGACAATTTGCCGGATGCCCGTCACAGACCTGAGACTCGGTGAGAGCAGCGGTCCCGTTATGGCACTTACCTAAGAGGCCAGGGTTGGGGAACCTCCAGGACTCGTTGTACGTGGGGTATTGAGCGTGGGAGTAGGGGCCGTTGGAGAAGTCTCCACCTAGAAGAGATCATATAGCAAAATTACAAGTTAGCGGTGAATCCCACCCAAAATGTGGATTGCTAAGCAGCTACGAGAGCCTCATGTCCTCTCGTGGTCTTGCGCTCCTAGTCTGATGCTCAGACCTGTTTCAAACGGGGATATCATTATGGTGACCACCTAATGCTCAGACCTGTCCCAAACAGGGATATCATTGTGGTCACCACCTAATGCTCAGACCTGTCCCAAACAGGGATATCATTGTGGTCACCGCCTAATGCTCAGACCTGTCCAAACAGGGATATCATTGTGGTCACTGCCTAATGCTTTCTCTGTCCACAGCATTCCTTCAGCTATCCTCATATGTCAGTCTATGGAAAACTCGCCAGCCCATTCCTGCTTTGCATTTTCAGACAGGATACACTACCCTTCCTCTTGGTTTCTAACAAAGATCCGCTTCATTTACCCCCTGGTGCTGTTCTGTCTCCCCCTGTAGACAGATACAAGTACCGGCCCCCTGTTCTGCCCCGGCCCACCAGCTCGCTGTGCCTCAGTGACCCAAGAAGAGAGAGAAACACGGAGACGACAAGTCAGGGGAGGACGCTGCTCAAACATAGTGAGGAAAAGGCTAGGAATTATGGAGAAGCTGAGATGATCTCCAAAGGAGGAAAACAAGCCAAGGGACATACCTGAAGATATGTAAGAACTCCAGCAGCAGAAGAGCTTTGGTAAAGCAGGTCAGTGGTGTGTGTGTAGTGTGTGTGTAGTGTGTGTGTAGTGTGTCTGTTGTGCTTGCTAAGTAGATAATGGGTTAAAATGCAAAGTCTCCACCAGGAGTGACAGTAGAGGTTTATAAAGAGGGTCTTACCCTATATGAAGGGGGGGTCTGATTTATGAAAATGAAGGAAAACACATTATTTAAATTACTCGGTTTAATTAGCGTGTATTTATTTTATTTGAGAGGGCTAAAGAATGTTTTAGGGGGCTAAAGCCAAAGCCCCCCCCCAAAAAAAACAGCCCAGATAATGCTCCTGGCCATCACGAATGCTCCCTGCCCATGGCTCAGGAGAACAGCCTCCACCCCGCACTGGCTTTCTCATGAGCAAGCGAGTCCACCTGACAAAGTGCGGGCCCAGGCTTTGGAGGGATGGAACCGCAGCTGACCTGACTGTAGGTCCCCAAAAGCAGGTCGCCCTATATACCACTGCAAGGCAGGTGCTAAGGTGTGTAAGGAGAACTTCAGGAGGTTCGGCATGGGCGCCCCCCTGAAATGCGAGCCCAGTCTTAGAGCAGTGCAGCCCTGGACACACAGAGCGCATTTCCTCACAGAGCCCTGAACCGCGGCAGTACATCCAGGCCCTGTGCAAGAGGCCCAAAGAGCACAAGCAAGATGGGCAAGGAAACCGATCTCTTAAAGTCCCGGAGCTGCCATCATGCGCCACCGGTCACTGCTCCACTGAGTGGCAGCGGTTCGGACCATACGGAGAAGGGGGGGTTTATTTGGGGGGGGTGGCAGCACATCTGCCTCCTGCCATGTCAAGGTCACACACCACAAAACCACACAATCCTGCCTATAAAAACAGAATATAGAACGTTCTAGCTGCACATATACACCATACACAAGATATACTGTACAAGAGACAAAGAACAGAGGATAACTGATTGGCAGGAATCGCCGTATGGCACTTCAAGCGTAAGCTTCCACTCTACACTTTCATCAACATTATTGAGTTTATTAACAACCTGGGACTGGATAAGTGTTTTTCTTTTAGGATAAGATGGAAGGATCAATGCATGGACAGATGTATGAATGCATGAACAGAGGGATGGATGGATGGATGGATGGATGGATGGACGGACGGTTGGGTTATAGTTTTTTACAACAGGCAAAGACAATTTGTAGTTTTTACAGATCAAATCAGCAGTGTGCACACGTACTGGTCTGAGCTGTGGAAGGCTGAGATATATTCAAACATCTCTGCCTCACGGCTAAAAGGCAGGCTTCCAGCAGCCTGTTTGATATTAATATATGGTTCTTAAACGTGCAGCAGGCTGAATGCATCCCGGCTCTTCAATGGGCACTTGACAGCTCCCTCTGATATCGTATCTCCACCTGACATGTCGAATACACTGAGCTGTGAGCTCTTTGAAAATAATGATGAGTCGTTTCTGAATCAATACATAAATATCAACTGCTTGTCATGTGGTGAAATGGAAATTCACAGATTTTCACAGTTATAGACCAATAAGTAACACTTTAAAATAGGGTGAACTTAGGTGTGAATTAACGCTACCTTACGTGAAAATTAACTGGAACAATGGTGAAAACCCATTCAGCTAATCACGGATTCAAGCCTTTGCCCTGAGCTTCCAGGGACGGGCTTCAAGATCTCCCTGGACTGATTACAGAGTTGGAATATGGATGGATGAAATCCAGTAATTCCCAACCCGGTCCTCAGGAACCCAGAGACGGTCCACATTTTTGCTCCCTTCCAGCTCCCTGCCAGACCGGAAGCTGAGAGGGAGCAAAAACATGAACTGCCTGCGGGTCCCTGAGGACCGGACTGGGAAACACTAGAATAATGGATGTTTATACCAGATTAAAAGAAAGAGCATTTTCAGAGATTCCGTTCTTTTTCATGTCAAGTCATGTCAAGTGGCTATCAGTGTTTTTATCGAGGGTTTGGCCTACTTTATTTTTTTCTTGAAAAATAGCATTTATTTAATCGTGAAATAGCATTTATTTAATCGTGAAAAACAGTTAAGCAGCACTGACAAGAACAACGCGGAAAAGTTAAGTTCAGTACATCTGATTAGTGCTTAGACATCACTATGTTTTGCCTTTATAATCAAATTCATGTTTCTCACTAGTTTTTTCTGCCTATTAAATATTAATCATCAGATGCCGTCTCTATTTCTCTGAAAAATCTAGCGCCACACCGTCACATATATATTTCTACAAAAGGTAAAAATACAGATTGGTCACGGTGAGGTCAATTTAAGTGAGTGGGGGAAAGTATGAATGAATATGTCACAGAGAACTGAAAAGCTGTGTGAACAGCGACAGTTTATGACTGTGTAATATCCACATCGTAAGGCAGGCTACTGTGATCGTCAGCATCACACATTTTAGAAAATATCTTGCACTGTGTGAATTTCACAGAACTTCCTTTTTCGAATACATAAATATTAAATCAATGTCATGTATAACAGTTATGGGGATTAATACTTTGTAAAATTAGATATTCTTGCAAGTATTGCATGCTTTCTACATATTACCAGGACCATCTTGACAAGGAATCCTGTGCACTAACCTGGCACCATTCCAGGCAGGGATGGGGTGCTGTAACTGCCCTGTCCAGCAGGGGGCACATGAGGGGGATACCCTGGCAGGGTGGTACTCGCCAGGTCTCGACCTGTGGACACATGGTTCATTCATCAACATGGGGCTCTGGTAAACAAGGCACAGGGCTGCCGTTTCGGTGTCTGAGGTTGGTGACATTTTAAAATGTGCCAGTTGCCATCACTGGACAGGGCAGCTAAATTCATATAAGCATAAAATTCATATAAGCAAGCAAACAGTAAACATTCAGCCTTAGTGAATTCCCCTCAACCTGTGATAAAAAAGAAAAACAAAAAGGGATCCATTTAATTGAAAAAACAACTTTTGAAAAGGGGTGATTCTAGAAGTTTTTTTAAGGTGGGGGCTATAAAAGGGACCTTAATTCATACAGAGGGGCCAACTTTATCATTAGCCAATGATATGTTTTTAAATCTGTGAGTGACAGAGGAGAAGGTGCTAGGGGGGCCAATCAACTTTCAGCTGGTCCCGCCCCTGTATGCACCATTGGCTGCTAACAAGGTGCATTTATACACTGAACTGCAGACACCCTTATCACACTTATAAAATACATTCCTTCCCACTTATTGCATCTCAAGGGATTAAACGAGGGGTCAGTAGCAGCTCTGTAGCACCACGCTGAGGACACATCTGAATTAGCTGCTGATTTACACCTGAAAGCCCAGGTGAGGTGATTGGCTATCCGGGCTCTCAGGGCACGAGCCAAAAGCGGAGTAGCCTGGGGGAAGGGTCAGGAAGGGCCAGGAAGGGTCAGGAAGGGCCAAGCCCAGGCCGGGAGCAGAGACACAGCTGGGCGGCTCGCGACTGTAAACAGGGGCTTGGAATCTCAGCACTTACACTTGCATTACGTATGAGTGTATCTGCCGGACTCCTGTGAAATGACCCCTGGGGCTGCAGCTCCGCACTGCGATAGCTCATTAGAGCCCAGCTTCCCCTCCTCCACCCGTTTCCATAATCCTTTCTGTCCCCGATCATACTCACTCAGTCCTCTGCACGTTGTATCTGGTATGTGCTATGCACCCACCAACCCCTGGGGACCACCAGCTACCCCCCTCCATATCCTCAACCCCCCCAGCTGGTTTTGTTGGCCGCCCGTTAGTCACCCCCCTGCCCGTACCCCCAAAACATCCCCCCAGCTGGTTTTTTTGGCCGCCCGTCATTACAGCTGCACCAGGCCTGTCACGATATGAGGGGCTGTGGGAGCATCAGGGAAGGACAGTTATCATCGTAGAGTGACCGAGTGCTGGTAGAGCAGGCTGCATCCCAGAGAGGACACACTGCTCAGCCACGCCCAAAGGGGGCGGAGTCACGAAAGGGCACACTGCTCAGCCACGCCCAAAGGGGGCGGAGTCGCGAAAGGGCACACTGCTCAGCCACGCCCAAAGGGGACGGAGTCGCGAAAGGGCACACTGCTCAGCCACGCCCAAAGGGGGCGGAGTCACGAAAGGGCACACTGCTCAGCCACGCCCAAAGGGGGCGGAGTCGCGAAAGGGCACACTGCTCAGCCACGCCCAAAGGGGACGGAGTCGCGAAAGGGCACACTGCTCAGCCACGCCCAAAGGGGGCGGAGTCGCGAAAGGGCACACTGCTCAGCCACGCCCAAAGGGGGCGGAGTCGCGGCTTGGGAAGGATCAGGGAGGAAGAGGGTCTCTGGGGAATGGGATCACTTCAGGCCAGAGATGGGGCAACTCTGATGTTTACTATCGGCCCATGTTTACTTGGCCAAATACAGCAAATTACACGAGGTTCAAGACTACAAGACCTTGGGATATATAATGCAGAGAATATTAATTAATTCAATTTACTTAATCCCATAACTAAGCTTACCGTCTACTCAACAACAAACTCATTTTATCTATTTAACCTATATGTTTTTAAATATGCCATTGTAATAGTTTGGCAAGTAATTCAATAGTCTAAATAAACAGTACTAAAATAATACCATGTAAATGATACAAGTTGCGCAGAATAGTGTATCTAGATGTACAACATGTTTGTAAATCTATCTAGATGTTCGTCATGGTTGCAAATGAAAATGTTTATCTGCAATGAGCAAAATTTCCCAGGTACTCAGGGCATTATTTATGATCATAATCATGATATTTAATATTTTTGTCCAATTTCTCTCCCCGCTGTTCATTGTTTGCCGACGGCAAGTCTCCACCCACCAGAAAGTGGGACAGTGCATTTTCTTCTGATTGGATCCCCTGCCATATCTGCCCCCCCCCCCCATTTAGCAAATCATCAGATTACAGTCCAATAGAGGAGACAGCACTGGCTGCTTGTAACAAGTAACTCAATCATCCAATGAGCCAGTGAAGTCATTTTGTATCAACCAGTCAAATTACCCTTGCTGATTAGTCCCAGCCTCTCTCACAAACAACGAACAATTTGTTCCACCACCAGGAGGTGGCAGTAAAGCACAATAATATAAGTCAGATTCGGCTAATAAGGGGCATATGAACGCTTTAAGGGAATTTGGCAGTTTCAAAAAAGATAGAAGCTACCTGCTTGGTGTGTAGGGAAGTGCACAGAAGTGGGAGCTGGGAAAGGGGTCAGTTAGGGGGCAGAGCAGAGTAAATAAGTGGGGGAGCAGGGAAGATGAAGGGAGGAGGAAGAAAGAGCTGGCGTGGTCACAGAGGTTGTGGCTCGCACAAGCACGTTTGTCACGTTGCCGCACGCCACACATCTTGGCAAAGATTTCCTCAGACTGAACCTTAAACCAAATCAAATCGCTTTATTTGTCACATTACTTGACACTTGGTAGAGTGCAAGTTAGTGAAATGCTTGTGTGCAAAGTCCCAAACAGCAGCCACAAACAGTGCAACAAAACGAATATCGCAAATGCAAATCGAACAAACAAAACGAAGAAAACAAAAGGCAAACAAACAAAACAAATAAATGGATGAATACATAGACAGACAAACAAACAAACAAACAAACCAATAAATAAATACATAAATATTGGGCAAATTAGAGACAAATAAATAAATGCATTAGATGGCTGTATGAAAATGAGTACAGATGGTGGATACGGATGGCAGGTGTCCATTGACCGCAGTTCTGTCGTCTGATAGTCTGGTGGAAGAACCTCTGGAAGGCTTTGTGTTACCCAGATTATTCATCTTAAAGCTGGCATCAGACGAATAAAAAACGACGGGTACGGGTGTCTCAGAATTGAACTTTGAACAGCCAGCAGCAGCTCTCCCTGTGGTAATCCTGCATGGCAAACCTTTGCCACTAGAGGATGCTGCTGAGTCATCAGACCGAGCCAAGGGCTTAATTTTTCTCGACTGCGTCATCACATTTCATGAAACATGCATAGCATTCTCATGGCTGTAAGAGCATTTCTCAAAACAATTCATGCGTGTAACACAACACTATGCTTAAGCTGCAAAAGCCTGTAACATAACCAAAACAATAAGCTCATGTCTCAAAAGCAGATAATTCCACCAATGAATTAGTCAATACAGCCAAAATGAAAAGTGCCCTTAGCATTGTTTTAACCATGAGAGTCAAAGTGTCAGTACAGGTATGCTGCAGAATTCCCAACGATAGTCGGTTCCCACTTTCTCATTGTCACTGATTATTTTTCTTTAGCAAACTGATATTTATTCATGTCAAAGATACCAGTTGCACATTGCATGTCTCTGCATTACAGTATGTAAAGTTCATTGGCAAGAGAAAGCACTGCATGCACATGTAACTTCTTCAGATCTCAAGACATGCTACAATAGCAAACAAAAACAATTCTCATTTACTTCACTTGTTATTTTTAATGCAATTTCTCTGTTTTGTTTTTTTTTGTATTTCTGTTTTATATCAGTCAAATGCAGAAGTGGATAGTTCAGGTCCAGGAAGTAAAAATCCAGACCGAGATTTTGTTTCAATCGACCAGGTGAGTATAGAGTCACAGTCAAAGGGCCTCTGTAGTAGTTGGTTGAAACAAAATCTTGGTCTGGACTTTTACTTTCTGAAACTGAAGTATCCATCTTTGGTCATAAACCTGGACTTGTAAATGGAGGCATTAATATTAAGTACATAACACAAAATATAAGGAGACCTGACATGATCTTACCCCCAGGTGCACTTTTTTGTGAATTGCTAAGTTGTCCAGCCCCTAGTCTGTTATTCTAATCAGGGGAAATTCTCTTTTCGCCTGCCCCATCTTGCTCTCCAGGAGACTCACAGACTCATATACAGGTGAGAGCGAGCTTGAGGGTCACAGTACAGGGTCAGGTCCAGGGTCCCTGCAGTTATCTGGCCTTAAGGGCCCAGTGGTGGCACGGGTCTGGTAGCCAGGGGCTTCAAACTGCTGCCCTTTCTGATTACCGGCACACAGTCCTAACCTAATGAGCTACAGATAGATAGATAGATAGATAGATAGATAGATAGATAGATAGATAGATAGATAGATAGATAGATAGATAGATAGATAGATAGATAGATAATGATGGACCTGTTAGATTACGTTTCCCTTCATACAGACAGTGGATAATACATTTTCCAAGGAAGGAGTGTGATCAGGATGAGGAAGGAGTGTAGATCAGGATGAGGAAGGAGTATGGATCAGGATGAGGAAGGAGTGTGGATCAGGATGAGGAAGGAGAATGGATCAGGATGAGGAAGGAGCGTGGATCAGGATGAAGAAGGAGTGTGGATCAGGATGAGGAAGGAGCGTGGATCAGGATGAAGAAGGAGCGTGGATCAGGATGAGGAAGGAGCGTGGATCAGGATGAGGAAGGAGCGTGGATCAGGATGAGGAAGGAGCGTGGATCAGGATGAGGAAGGAGCGTGGATCAGGATGAGGAAGTCAAATGTAACCTCGGAGCACCAAACCAGAGTAGCTGCGTTACCACTGGCCTCAGAGCATGGCACCAGCAGTGGTGCTCAGTGAAGACGCCAGATGCCACTGCCCCACTCACCTGGCACCAGTGAGTATGGCTGAGCTCCCGGCACGCTGGCGCCCAGCTCCGTCTGCCCAGCGCTGCCCAGGCCGCTCTTCATGTCAGCCAGACCGCCTGCCAGGGTGGCCATGGTGGAGTAGTCTGCTGTCTGCAAGGAGGAGGAGGAGGAAGAGGAAGAGGGCATCAGGGTCCGGGAAAGCCAGCGGAACACTGTCCACATCCATCCCTTCATGTCCCTCAGAAGGTGGCCGCAGCAAGCGAGAGCATGGAGGACAGGAGAAGAAGCAACAGACCCCAGGGTTCACTGCAGCCATAGTACGGCTGAGAGAAGCTATTAGTTCATTCTTATTTACACATAAAATTGTACTAATATTCTCTGAATGGCCATCGGTCCTCAGAGAGCCGACTTCCTGCTCCGGAGCGAATGTCAGAGCTAACATGTATTCATATGTGGTTTTGATTCAAAAATGAAGGAGAAATTCATTATACAGTGTCAACAGAATGAGGGACATGGGGAAGTCCAGGGTTTGTGTGTGTGTGTGTGTGTGTGGAGGGGGGGGGGTATTGCGTTGTTTGGATCAGATGTCCCCACATTGTGATAAAAACCTGTTATTTTGACGTTGTGGGGACCATCTTTTTGGTCGCCACACGGGGAAATTCACTTTTATAAAAATCTGTGACTGCAATCAAAAAGCTAAAGTAGCCAAAAGTCTTGAATTTGATTTGGAAACTTATGGTTGAGGTTTGGGCTGGGTAGGGGTTGAGGTTGTTATTGTTGGGATTAGGGTTTTGCCATAGAAAGAATTGGAGAGTGCCCACAAAGATATGAATACAAATATGAGCGTGTGTGTGTGTGTGTGTGTCTGTGTGTATGTGTGTGTGTGTATGTGTATACAGTACATTACATTTATTAGCAGATGCTAACATAGAGTCGATAAAGCAGGGTCTGCCAGTTCCTGGAGCAATCGGGGGTTAAGGGCCTTGCTTAGGGACTCAGCAGTGAATCACTCTCCCGATCCCAGGATTTGAACCGACGACCTTCTGATCACAGGTACAGACAGTATGACTGTGTGGTTCTCTTTCTCCTGTTAATCTCAGTTGGGGTCGTATTCCATGTGTGTGAACCGATCCCCCAGCTCGATGGCTTGTGAGGAAGACTGACCGTCACTCA